TGTGTGTGTGTGTACACGCTCCTGCAGACAGATAAAAGACATTTTAGATGCTGCTATGCTTGACTACAGTCCGGATTGGCTCCGTTGCTGATTCATATTCTGGACCTGCCTTTTCATCCACGGGGAGATCAAGAGAGATTTATGGAGCCCTTCTGAAGGTGAAACAGTTTCAGTAGGAACAGATCAAAGTACATGCTTTAAACAACAAAAAAGATGCAGGGCAAGAAAACAATAGACTGGTTCGACAGTAAAAGTCAGATTTGTGTTTTATATGCTGAACATGGTCATTAGCATGTCTTTGTTTTTTCCCTGATTAGCTTTTAATAAATACTAAATAAGTCTGAATAAAAGTCTAAAGAAGAAAGCTGCACATGTAATGAATTATGAATTCTCTCTGTCTCATACACCCTCAACTACTAATACGTCTTTAATGTAAGTTAATCTGATTCAGGTTTACTCTCATGCTGCCTTGATTAATGTTGTTAATTACACCTGACGTGTCAGAATATCTGCCATGAAAACAGTTCTGTGAATCTTTTCTTCACTTCACTGGATAAACTGTTGTCTTATTTAATGATGTTATTTTTTTAGGGCCTCTGAACACTTGGCTAAAGACCACCAACAAGATAGAAATGTGCTGCTGATTCTTGCCAGAGTGTGGGCAACACTGCACTGGATTAACCAGTTGCTCTGACTGACTGTGCCCATCTAACGCAGCCATTAGTAATAACATTAACGGTGGCTCTTTTCTATTCAAGGGTTCCAGTAATCCATGACGGTGTGACTGCGAGCCAGCACAAACCTAAAATTTGTGATTTCATTGAAGGTTTTCTAAAAAAAGTCGTGATTGTTTACCTTTGGAGATATTTTTAGGGTTTTTATTCATTGAAATTGCAGCATAAAACATGAAGCCATAACTTTATTTATATGGAGAATAAAATCACTAGTAGTTTGGTGACGTTTGTTGCGCCGGGAGCTGCTATGATTGGTGAAACGTTGTGGGAAATGATTCATCAAATTTGCTTTAAAGTTGCGCTGATTAGACAAAATTTTGCAAGGTTACACAGAATTCATGGGGGTTTGTTGAATTTGCGTTAATTGTTGCAACCGCAACTTCCTGGAGGGACTGCTAAGTGGAATTCAACCATTATTTATTCATTTGTTTTATTATTTACACTTGTGCTTTTCCTACTGTGTCATGTCGAAATGTCTTCTGTAGAGAAGTCCTATGAGCAGAGGCGGGACTGGACTACTATGGCACTACAGACAGTCTGTTAGGAGTAGTGGCTCACAGATTAGTACAAATACCACTCGCACTAACTAATCTACAGCCAGTGTTTGGTGGCTGATAAATAAAAAAAACCCATCTCATTCTAAGGTAACAAAAACACGACAATTCTCATTTTCAGGTGATTAGACAACTAATGAAAACATATATGTGAATATAATATCCGATTTCTGCCAATAGATCCTCCTGAATGTTACAAACTGGACCTTTAATGAGAAGCAATCAGCAGAGGATAAAGTATCTGTCCCCATCACACTTCTTTACTGACTAATCACATTTAGATTTAGTTTTTATTTCTTTCCTTGATTACCAGAGTTTTTACACCAATGCAGTTGGTGTTTAAAGTCTCTACATATTCATTGTACTGACAGTGTTTTCACTGTGGATGTGTACAGAGGGTGCTCGATTGACATCTCCTTCACTCTCCAGTTTTGTTACACCTGTTAGGGGCCCGACAGTTTACACCTTTATCGTTCCGTTCAGTGCATCAACTTTGGTCACCTCACATAACTGTTGATATCCATCCCCCTGTAGAGGTCTAATGAGCCAGAATGACACGTGTGGATGTGCAGGGTCTTTAACTCGCTCAATATCATGCTGTTGTTGTGTTCATTTGATAAAGAACATGGACAAAAACAATGCAGTTTTGATAAAATAATGTAAATAATATGATTTTCTTTAAATGGTGGAAGTGTGTTATGTCTTAAGTGTTTCATATATTTTAAAACTGCATTAAACATGTTGTAAAATTTACTTTTTATGATCTTTGTGTTATTTGTGGTGGCCTACATATTTAATGTATAACATTTGTACAGAAGTAGTTATCATGTAAACAAAATACAGAAACATGGTTCATTAATAGAGTATAGACATTAGATATTCCTGTAGATTTAATATTATAACTATGTGTTCTGCTTCATCACAACTAAAGAATGAGTGATGAGAGTTAATGATTTATATCCTTTTTGCAGCAGTTTGAGAAATATCAATATACATTTCTATTCAATGCGACATTTTGTGTGTCTGCCACACGCTGACATACCTCACTCACACACAAACACACCGTCTTGATACGTTACGCTTCACTGTTGCCATGACTACCCTACGTTTTGCCGTCAGGATCTCGTCTTATACAATAGGTCTACAGTTGCGAGTTGTGCATAGAAGGAGGATTCAGGTGAATCTCAAATATACACTTATTATCACTACTTTGTTATTTCTACATACTCTGAACTTATTTTTTGGAGTAACAGTGACAAGAGGAGGCAGAAGATGAGCAGAGACATGAGATAAACACACACAGGCACAGTTAATTGATGACTCTCCAGCACAAAAGTCCATTCAGCTACTTTCTTATTAATCTTTTAATGAATTAGGTGTGTTTAATGTCCTTGAGGGGGAATATTTATTCATTAAATGGGGGGAAATGTTTTATAAGTGGAAAAATAACAAATTAGTTATGTAATTTTACATTTTAATGTGTTTTTTTTTACCTCCATAAGGTCCATTGCTCTACATGTTTTGTTTTTGTCATGGCCAATTAATGATTCTTCAGCTCAGGAAGCTGACCTGCTTTCAACCAGCATTGTGTAATGATGATGATTACCTAATTCTGATCTCTAACGGCTGACTATTGACATTTGAAGTGAGGGCTTGTGCAAGTGCAGATATCAGCATTAGAGTACTGATAAATTATGTTGTTCATGGTCAGTTCTTGGGGCTCATAGCACTTTCGATTTAAAGATATAACATGAAAATGACTGCCCTGATCAGCAATTATTAGACAATTACAAACAGACTTTTGCTGGACTGGATGACACAGATGTGTTTAGCTGTTATCCAGATGTGCACACACCACATCTCTAACAGTATCCCTCATCCCCCTAACTCCCAACTACAGTCGACCCCCATCCCGAGCACCTCGTGTGCCCCAGCCTGCGCTCCCTTCCCCCCATATTCCCCGATGCCAGGCGTGGGTTGTCTAATTAAAGCGCTAGAAGAGCACTGACTCTTGACATGCCCTCAGGGTGTGCCAAACGGGGCACGTGGGCATGAAGAGGGAGGGGGTAGATCATGCTGAAGGTGAAGAGTGTGGGTAAATTGGGGATTTCTTGGGGGGCGTAATTATGGAAGATGAGGAGAGGGGGCGGGGGGCAGTTGTACCAGGGGAGTCTATTTACCTGGTACCTCTGGCGGGGACACCTTATCATTCCAGCAGACCTGGGTGTGCGTGAAGCTGGCTCACCTCACTGCACTTGGGAGCAAGAATATATGCAGAGCAGACGAGATAAACTGCTTAGTATACGCTGCACACACTGACACGCATTCATACAGCAATTCACATGTACATCATCACGCATGGATGCCTTTAGCTGCAAATACAGTACTTCCAGACACACCCATGAACAGATAAAGACAGAGAAACACACACACACGAGACAAAGAAACTTGGTTGAAAGACAGAATTTACAGCAGTAATACATATATTTAATTAAAAACACACACAGATGAAGCCTTATATTTATTGAATATTTGATTTTCAAGCACTGTATGCAAATGCTAATACAGCTTAATATGGTTAATATTAATGAGAGCCAGTCCTCAGGGGTTGGGGCTATAGAAAGGCTGCGTTGTATGC